ATACAAGTAGGGTTGCCACCTGTCCAGGATTCACCTGGACAGTCCGGGTTTTGAATGCTGTGTTCGGGTTTCATGGCAGCAGAAACCAGGACACAAAATGTCAGGCAGACAGGGGCAACCAAAATTAAGATAGGGGCTACTGGCCCCCCACTGAAAATAGTCTCAACTGTGATATTTACATATAAAAAGGTGGCACTATTTACATGTGAATAAGCCGCCACTCATTCTCCCCCCAAAAAATATCTGTCCGCAGCTAGAGTGTTTGGGTTTCACCTGAAGAAAAGGTGGCAACCCTACATACAAGTGATCTCGGTGACTTCGGCGCTGTACATTTAGCACTGCTTGCCCAAAGCAGGGCTAAATGTAGAAAACAACTACCCGCCTGGCACCCGGAACTGCATGTCCTGGGCGTCAGGAGATAAGAATTCCACACCCCTGCTGCCCCTCTACTCCCTGCTGCCCCGAGGCCGGACCTTGGTTGGCCTTTATACAAGTAGGGTTGCCACCTGTCCAGGATTCACCTGGACAGTCCGGGTTTTGAATGCTGTGTTCGGGTTTCATGGCAGCAGAAACCAGGACACAAAATGTCAGGCAGACAGGGGCAACCAAAATTAAGATAGGGGCTACTGGCCCCCCACTGAAAATAGTCTCAACTGTGATATTTACATATAAAAAGGTGGCACTATTTACATGTGAATAAGCCGCCACTCATTCTCCCCCCAAAAAATATCTGTCCGCAGCTAGAGTGTTTGGGTTTCACCTGAAGAAAAGGTGGCAACCCTACATACAAGTGATCTCGGTGACTTCGGCGCTGTACATTTAGCACTGCTTGCCCAAAGCAGGGCTAAATGTAGAAAACAACTACCCGCCTGGCACCCGGAACTGCATGTCCTGGGCGTCAGGAGATAAGAATTCCACACCCCTGCTGCCCCTCTACTCCCTGCTGCCCCGAGGCCGGACCTTGGTTGGCCTTGTGTGAAATCCGGCCCTGCATATAGATAATATTGGTAATAATTATGATAGATAACATTGTAGATGGGTGATCCCGGCAATATCGGACCGGCTTTGGGGATCAGAAGTTGGGTCAGACTCTGTAAGGTTCTTCTCGCTTCCCTTTGGATCACCTGCAGGTTTAGGGTTCTGAGGACACAAGAGTATTTTTTGGCTTTGGGTTGAACCCGATGGACGCGTCCTTTTTTAGCGTTATCAGCCGGATGTCACAGGACCTTTCGAGGAGCTGCTGCCGCCGCCACCACACGGGACAGCTTGGCCCGACGCAGCTACATTCACATGACTTATCCACCTGCTAGCCGCCGGGCTCCTACGTGTCATCAACAAACTTTATTCACTTCTAACCAGATTTCCCCCGAGCCTCAGACCGGCTCGCTGCGCATCGCAGAAGAGGAAGCTGAATTATTCTCCTATTAAATATTAAACGCGTATCGAGCCATTAACATCCTCTTTCCCGGCAACACCAAACCACAGAGAGGCCTCTCTAGAAAACAGAGGGAGCAACACAGGTGTGTAGAGGCCGCGCTTGACGCTGTCTCCCCAGTGCATCCTCCGCCATGTTTGTAAGGCCAACTCAAGCCAGAACTGTTTTCTTTAGTTTTAAATGGCAATGCCGGGACAAGGCCCTCTGGCTCCCAAGGACTGGATGCCAAACTGTGCCGCCCCCTCCTCCCCCTCCCGCCCTCCAAGCCAGGTGGAACCGAGGATGAGGTGACTATATTTTATTTATTTTAGCCCCTAGACCAGGGGTGAGCAACCACTGCCCTCCAGCTGCGGTGGAACTACAAGTCCCATGAGGCATTGCAAAACAGTAACCTGCATGACTCCCAGAGGCAGAGACATGATGGGATTTGTTGTTAAAGCACAGCTGGAGGGCCAAAGTTGCCCACCCCTGCCCTAGACCATAACCAGCAGTGAACCTTTTGCAGGGCAGGAGCAGCCCCACTGCAAGGGTTAATATTTATATTTCCTGAAGTTCTTCTTTAAGGCAACCCGACCATTAATTCTTTTTAATAACATTTGGTCCCTGTTAAGCCTTTAGGGTTAACTAAGGGTTAATAATTTTTTTTTTATTATTTTTTCTTCTTCAAATGTGTCATTTAAAAAAATTATTGAGCTTTTTTTTTTAAAATGTAATTTGTTAAAAAAAAACGTTGCCATGCTTTGTACTATTATCTCAATTTGAGTGTTTTTATAAACAGAACAAATCATGGAATAAATCTGATACTTAGGATCTTCGGTGACACCGTTCTAAAGCTAACAACGCTCAAAGTAGGAAAAAAAATGCATTTTGTTGGTCCATAGATGGCGGTCAAAATAAAATAATTGTTGCAGGACGGTATCACCAAAAGAAGGTCCGGTTGGTCCACCACTTTTTGTCACACTTCATATCAAGTGCACAGGCCCATAGGGGAAATGTAAACGTGGTTGTGGTGTATATACAGGTACGGGGGAATGACAACAGACATCATCCAGCTCGTCACTTCATCGGTGACAAGAAGGGAAATATCAATTCTCTGTTCCCGATACGCAGGGAAATAGGCGCCCAGGACACTCATCACAGGCAGATGAGTCAGCTAGGCCCACACAGGCAGTAGGCGCCGTGATACGGAGCTAAGATAACGCATAGCCCCCGCACACTGCCAGCCGGCTTTATGGAAAAATGCTAGACAACTTTAATCTCACTTGTGTCCCTCTAAATAAGCCTCAGCATGCGCCTCCCTCCAGACTCCAGAGTCCTGGATAGGGATGAGCTCAGGTTCAAATCTGATCTTCTCTGAATATGGAAGTGGCATGGAGCCACCAGCACAATCAGCTGCGGGCAGGGTCACTCCACACCCCGCAGCTGCACATATACAAAGGGGCGGGGTGCTTGTGCTGACGTCATTGACCTTATATGGTCACATGGCCATATTAGGTCATTGTCATGAACCAAAATATAGCCATGTGGCCATATAAGGTCAATGACATCACTGCATCCATCCCCTTTGCTTACGTGCAGAATACCCCACCTGCAGCTGATTGGGCGGCAGCAGAAGGAGCTTCCTTCCATGATCAGAGAAGCTCCTCCCTTGTTTTAACCTGAGCTAGAACTGAAGGGTAAAACATGAATTCTTGGATGAGCAGATGATCTAGAGAGGAAGGCAAAGAAAAGTCTTCTATAATCTGTGCCGCCAATGGGCCTGAGACAGGACGACGCCTTCAACAAGAATGACGTTCAGTTCTCTGACATTGTAAAGGGTTAAGTGTCCATTTCTATACACAGACGTTTCTTAGTGGAATTCTTCAGTGATAATTGTATTACAGCTTCTCCTTGCTGACCTCATTTCCCCATAAAAAATGAATGAAGAAGAGATGACTGGTAAAGGCGGACTGAGGCGGAGGGGGAACCCAGCTGTTAATAATTCAGGTTGTCTTTGTGGTGGACCGGCCAGCCTCAGCTCTGAGCATTGGCTGAGTTAACTGCCTGGGGGTGACAGGTGCTGCACAAGTGACCTATGGCTGGGGGGTAGGAGCTGCACAGGTGACCTATGTCTGGGGGGTAGGTGATGCACAGGTGACCTATGTGTGGGGGGTGGGTGCTGCACAGGTGACCTATGGCTGAGGGGTAGGTGCTGCACAGGTGACCTAAGGCTGGGGGTAACAAGTAGGGTTTCCACCTGTCCAGGATTGACTCAGACAGTTTGGGTTTTGAATGCTGCGTTTGGGTTTCATGGCAGCAGAAACCCAGACACATGATGTCAGGCAGACAGGGGCAACCAAAATTAAGATAAGAGCTACTGGCCCCCCACTGAAAATAGTCTCAACTGTGATATTTGCATATGAATACAAAAATGTCCGCGTGTTGCTAGAGTGTTTGGGTTTCACTTGAAGAAAAGGTGGCAAGCCTAGGGACAGGGGCTGCACAGGGGGGAATAG